TCTTTGGGCCTCCTGGTACAGGGAAAACAATGCTAGCAAAGGCCATTGCGAATGAAGCTGGAGCAAGTTTCATTAATGTCTCCATGTCCACCATCACGTCAAAATGGTTTGGAGAAGATGAAAAGAATGTGAGAGCTTTATTTACAGTAGCAGCAAAGGTTGCGCCAACTATAATTTTTGTGGATGAGGTTGATAGCATGCTGGGGCAGAGGACTAGAGTTGGGGAGCATGAGGCTATGCGGAAAATTAAGAATGAGTTCATGACACATTGGGATGGTCTATTGACCAAAGCTGGTGAGCGAATTCTTGTCCTTGCTGCAACCAACAGGCCATTCGACCTTGATGAGGCAATAATTAGGCGTTTTGAGCGCAGGTATATTTCCATAGTCATTTCACTATCGATATTATCCTTGTATTCTGTCTAACTATGTGATTGGTTAATTTTCTGATCATTTTTGCATTCGCCATCAACTAGCAGCGAGCTGTTATCTTTACCCAAAGAATATTTAGCTTACTCTGCTTGGTTCCTTGTCCTTGAAACATTTTTGCTTTGAGTACCTTAGTCTCCCCTTTTGAAGCACATAATTTACCTTAGACTTGACCTCTCTATCAACAATATTTGACCCCCTTGTGCACTCATTGATTAGCCTTTGAGCTAATAGCTTTGAGTAACTCTTTCACTCAGTCAAGGTTTCTGAAATATTGTTTGGAAGAATCTCCTCCATCATTCTTAATGCTTACTTCTTTGAATTAATATTCATGTGGAGTTCATATTTATGTACCTTTTTCTTGACTTATTCTTGACATTCTATGTTTGTTTCTTATCAAGGATTTCGTGACATTTGATTGGTACTATTACAATTAACAAGGAAGTCCACAGTTTTTTTATGCATGCAATCATGGACTAACTTGCTGACAAGTCAATATGACTGAACATCTTATCTTACTCGTGTGCTTTCCATTTTGATCAGAATTATGGTTGGCCTTCCATCCATTGAGAGTAGGGAAATGATTTTGAGAACTCTACTGGCAAAAGAGAAAGTTGAAGATCTGGACTTTAAGGAGCTCGCGACCATGACAGAAGGATATAGCGGAAGTGATCTCAAGGTTTGTCTTTTAACTCATAGCATTTATCATTTATATTTAACTGTTATTTACTGACGGCATTAACTACCGGGAACAGAACTTGTGCGTGACAGCAGCTTATCGACCTGTTAGGGAGTTGATAAAGCAGGAGAGGTTGAAGGATCTGGTACTAAATCTTTTTCTAATACGTTGTCATTCAAGCATTATCTTCGTGTTACTAGTACGTGTGGACAATGTATCTTACTAATTTCTGTTTTCAATAACTTTCTATAGGAAAAGAAGAGGAGAGAAGAAGCAGGCAAGAGTTCAGAAGATGATTCAGTGACAAAAGAAGAGAATAAGGAGGAAGGAGCAATTACTTTGAGGCCTTTAAACATGGAAGATATGAGAAAAGCGAAGAATCAGGTAAATTCTAGTCATAGTTTCCTGTCAGTTTGTCACTTTGGCATATTTGCATGTCACTGCCATTAATCAGCACATGTGGTGTTTAAAAACTGTATTTGATTAGTCAGATCTTAGTCCATCTAGATTTTAAAGTGAAAACTGGAATGCAGATTGTTTTGCTAGTTATCCAAGAGCAATATTGCTGGTTCAAAAGTTTTCCTTGGAGATTATTCTGCTATTAAGTTGAAATTACCTCTAATTGAAAATGAAAAGAGATTTTTCTGAACCTTAATTCTAGTGGTCACTGGACTATACTACACAATCTAGCTCTATGCATTGCCCATGACTTTCTTCAGGCTGTAACTCTATTAATTTTTCACTTATCTTCACAGGTCGGATACTGAACTTAGTGATGACTGAAACATAATTGATTGTCTGACTAGTCTAACCCAAAACTGTTAGCATAATCTTCAGGCTTATAAAGTTTGAACTAATATGTCACAAAATGAACTTTTAGAACCATATTTTTTTTTATAATAGAATTGCCTTGTTATGCTCAAAAACTTATTGTAAATGCTACAATGTAGGTTGCTGCCAGCTTTGCTTCTGAAGGATCAATAATGGCCGAGCTGAAGCAATGGAATGATTTGTATGGAGAAGGAGGTTCAAGGAAGAAGCAACAGTTAACTTACTTCCTTTAGATTGTAGAAAGCAGGCATCTTATGAACTTCAACAAAAGAGTTGTATGTGAAGAGATGTGAAAATTTGGTGATACCGAAAGCCCCTTCAACAAAAATACAGTCGTAAATGGGGTAGCATCAAGATGGAAAGCTTTGGCATGGGATCCTTGTACAAAGAAATGCTGACCAATACCACAGAGCTGTTGTAGGGTTTGTGTGAAATACATTTTAAAGTATACATCTGGCATTTGTATATCATGCTTAGAAGAGGGTTCTTCCATGAACCATTTGCCACCAATCTTTGGGTATTTTTAGTTGTGTTCTTCTGTGAATGTCTGGCATTTCGAAATGCATTAAGGGTTTCAACTTTCAAAATCAGGGAGGAGTTTATATTGGATTGTTTTGTTTGAATATATTCTCTACACTAGCATTTGTATAATGATAAAACTTGTTTTTTTGCTTCACTTATTTTCACTTTGTTTCAAATTTTTATTAATATTAATATATGAATTGGGTTAAAATTTAGTTAATTAAAGCTAACACCGGGTAGAATTATTAATTGATTATAATATTCATTTTTATAAATAATTTAAAATAGCAAATGATATTTTTAAAATGTAATAAATAAATATATTTATTTTCGTTAATTTTAAAAAAAATTTTCACATCCGTAATATATATATATATATATAGAAACAAGCTTTTGACTTTTCATTGTGTAAACCGTAAACGGACTCGATCACTATAAATTTAACCGTAGGCAAAGACAGACGGTAAAATAGCGAAGTCACGTCTCGACTTTCTTTTAACTAGCGGGTGTCTGTCCCTGTGGTCATTTTTGTTCTTAAAAGCTGGTAATTCCTGCATCAATAAAAACTTGTCTTGTCGCCCATGTTTGTGCGTCAAATGATGGAATAAACTGTGCAATCCAAGAAATGTCAAATCCAACAGAGAGATACCAAAAGCTGTGTCTTAGAGGATCTACCGATACCCAATAGCATGGAAAGAACTCAGCTTCATTCTGGAGTCGGGGGCGCTTATAATACCAAACTTCCCTTGAATCTCCAATCCCTCATCTTTCAAGATACCCTCTCCTCTTTTCGTCTGCTTCCCAGGTAAACCCTCCCTGCAACGTCTTTTCGACTCTTCTCTTGTCCTGTCTCTAACCAGTTCGTATTCTTTATGAATTTCAACATTTCAGCCCATCTCTATATAATCATTAATTCTGTTCCAGTTAATTTTGGATTAAGTTGGAAGCTTGAATTATGTGAAATTGGCTCTGTTGTAGCTAAATAATTCCAAAATTCGATGTATTTTCATGTATGATGAAATAAATTGAGCTCTTATTAATCAATGATAGGCCCTATTTGGAAGGAATTTGGCTTTCAAAATGGTTGATTGTTACATCAACACTTTCACAATTGTTCATGCTATAAAGAACTAGTATTTATTGGTTAGGGTGTGGACAATTGGATGATAGATGAGTCTGCTTCAAACTATCACATTGATGGAATGGGAACGCTATGTTTTGGGTTGATTATTTCATACCATGCATACATATAATAGTTCATCATAGTTTTTTTGGTTGATTTCTCTTTTATTTATGAAGGTTGTTGTAAATTCAGAATGCAGACAGTTAGTGCTGTTGCAGCAGCTCATCTCCTACTTCAGAGTGCAGAAGCTGCCTTGCCAAAACAGAAGAAGAGTTTGGTTGTTACAGAGTTTAGGAAGGCAAAGGTTGCACTAAAAAGACATGGCAAAGCACACAGAGAAGAAAAAGATAAACTTCTGAAATAGGTCTCCCTCAATGCCAAACTGAATTTCACAGTATCAAGTTTAGAAAACTAATCAAGTATCTGTTTTTGTCAAATTACTACTCAAATTTTACCTCCCTATATATTTCAGGGTCTGCACAATTGCCTCCAGATGTTCTTGTTCACATAGTCAGTTTACTGGATCTACAATCTTTAATCTCTGTAGCACTTTCTGCTGGTAACTTTTCCTCCCTTTTTGATGCTGGCCTTCCAAATGATTATCATGTATTTACTAACTTAAAGGTGTAATAGATAGCAGTTGGCCTCCTTCCTCCATTCCCTTTGGTTGCTTTATTGGAAGAGCATGGAATTTAGGGGTAAATGATAACCATCGATGGGAATTGCAAGCAATATACATAGTCTTTGGCAGATAGAACTAAAATGCAGTGGGTTGGCAGATCCGTAACAGAGGATTGTACGTTTCTGGAGGAGAATGTGGTTTCTCAGACTCATATTAATTGGAAAGGGACCTTTAAAGTAGCATTATATAGGTATGCAGCATGTGGACTTTTATATGCATAATCACTTTTGTTAATGAGCCATATGCATTATAACTGTTGCTGCAAACAATGGTCGTAAACTTTTTAAATGGCTTCTCATGGGATGGACCTCACAGAATCTCTCTAGCTTGCTGCTGAACACTTTTGAATATTTCACTTGAAAATCATCTTTCCAGCCCTATTGTTTAAATAATATTCTGAATATCAGGCACTTTTTCAAGGAAATAAATATCCGATAGAGGATATTGTGGGCATGCAAGACAACTGTCTGGCTCAAGAACCTGAAATGCTCTAACAAACAGTGTGAGTTGAAATATGAAAGGGTCCAGATTAAGCCTTGCAATTTCAATAGCTGCTTTTGGGTCTTGCATTTCTTGTAGACTAAACGTTCAACATGTTTCTGGTTGTGGAGTACTTAATGGATGGTTGTATATCAGTGATATCTTCTTCAGATAGTGACAGTGAGTGCGTATCCTATAAACATAAGTAGAGTTGAGAAAAAAAAACCTATTGTTTAGATTGCTACAACTCCAAAAGCATACTTATATGTAATTATAATTCCAGACAAATTATCTGCGAAAACTTCTTGTAATTCTTAAAATCAGTACAAGATGTAAAGATCAAGGTAAAATAACATATTCTAACCGCCAAGAATTCAATGCTGGCGTCAATAGATTAAAAAATAAAGAAGCAAACGCATGTGATCTAAAACTAAGCATCATTGAAAACCATATTCAATGAGGATGCGTGCAGCTAAAACATAAAGTAGAAACGGGGACTCAGAGGATAGGTCACGGTGCCATAGTAATTGATTTCAGCAAAAACCTAATGACCTAATGTCGTTTAATCTTTCTTCTTCCCTTTCAATGGCCCTTTAAGAATCTTACTCAGAACCTTCTCATCAAATACTGCATACTGCTTCTTGATCTCAACTATTGCCTTCTCAGAAAATGAATCGACCTTGTCCTCGTATTTCTCATAAAACACCGGCACAGTGTGAAGCAGAACAAATACTGTCCATAAAGTCAATTTGGCGTCAGTTATCATAGCCAAAAGGTTTTTTTTTTTTTTTTGGTCAAGAAATCTACTTTGTAAAAGCTTGAGAAAATAATCAAATTCCCTACCTATGTAGATCAATGTCAAGAAGTTAAAACAACTTCCCACAACTGACAGAATCCATAATCCAGCAATGACCTAGAGAATATAACAGCAAAGCAGCACCTAGAGACATTAGTTAACCTGGAGTAGGCAGTTCGTTTAAATGCAAAAATGGTATTGATAGGACTGGTTTACTGTTTTCTTTTGATAGCAAGACGAAATCATTAACCAAAGAAATCAAGGCAAATATTAACATACACCAAGAAACGTCTTCAAATCTTTTCCAGATGCAACGTCCCGCACAACATCAAGAGCTCGGTTAATTTCAATTCTCAGAGCAGATGCAACTTCAAGGACACATTTTTCAGGAAGTAAGACTTCCGGGATGTTTGGTGGAGACCTTCATATCCGATAAAGTTATAAGTTACAATAAAATTCAATCAAACGATCATAAGGACAAAAAGAAGAACGCTTGAAAACCTTACTCATTGATGAAGTTAGAGGCATTAGACCAGAGGAAAAGGATTGATAGAAGGATTATCAATATATGGCAAACAAGAGTGATTAGATGGTATTCAAGCATTTCAAAGAGAAACCACAACGCTGTTGCACTACCAAGCACACTCCCAGAAATTTTCTTGTTCCTCCATAGCAAAACATCAGCGGCTGCAGAACAAGATCCAATTAACACAAAGATGATAATAAACAATAAAAAATAGAATGCTACAGATTCTTTTGCCGTAAGCTTTTGCAAAAAAAATATAGACTGAGGAATGAAAGAAGATTCATCTACTCATAATATTATTATTTTTAAAAAATTCAACATAACTTCCCTTGAAATGAAGAATAGATTCAAAACTATTGATGATGCATTCACAATTCACGAATTATATAAACAGAAAAGAAAAGTGCATAAAAATCAACACAAATTCGCAGAAATCATTACTTGTAAAGATTTCGTATCTGCGCTAAATAACCACGTAAGGAAAGGTAGGATTTGAAAAACTAGCATCGATCTGATCGAAATAAATTACATCGGCAATTCCTAGTTTTAGAAGTCAGATAAAAAATGAATTAACAAAACAGAGCATGTCGTTTAATGCAAACAACTAATGTTAATTTAAAACATCTAAAAAACAATTGAGAAAATGATTTCGCGGAATCTAAGTAAATAAAATGATAAAGCTTAAAAGATAGATTAAGATTTGGATATCGTGAGTACGTTTTCCAGCGCCTAAGACTTGATGAAGAGGCTTCTCTCTGCCAAAGAGGCGATAAACTTTAGATTTGTGAGCGTCAGCGTGAGAGGGCTTGTCGTCGTCAGAATCGGAGGAGGATGAGGAGGAATCGCCGTGGATCTTCTCGGCCATCTTCTCCATCAGCGTCCCTTCGTGCTCGGCCATTAGATCTCTATGCGTTTGATGGAGCGATACGAGGGCGTGTCGGGATTTTGCAGAGCGAAAGAACAGTAAGTGACGCGAACCGAGGCGTTTAAATTTGTAGCTTTGGAGGGGAATGGGAATCCGAAGCTTAGGTTCGGGGTGGGACGAGCCTTACGAGTGTAACGGAAAACGAGGAAAGTGCAGGCGCCTGTAATTTCTTAATGTGTCTTCTCTCTGTGGCCTGCCAATTGTTCATTGCTTTGTCCTTCCTAAATCCTAATTTCTATTTCCACTTCTAACGTTTTTAACTCCTCAGATGTTAAAAAATTAAAATACATTAATATTAAACATTGAATTATTTTAAAATTAATAACAAATTAAAATTATTGACCGAACTTGCTGGATATATTAGCTACTACAACTTCAAATAAATTTAATTAAAAGGTAATCATCATCGATTTATTAATATTTTGCATATTTTTGACAAATTATTAACAATCTATATGAATAAAAAACTATTAATGTATTTTTTAAAGAAAAAATATGAGAATTTTGAGTATAATCATTTTTTTTCTATTTTATTTGCTGAAATATCTATATATAATATTAATTTTTAAGTTATAATAACAAATTATTAACAAGCCAAATCATGGTTAGATTAGACGTCTTCTCGTCTCGTTTCGTCCATCCATTCATTAATTACCATTTATTTACTTCGTAAAATCCGAAGGTTTGGAGTCTGGAAGTTGACCATTCATTCGTCATTTATTTTATGTAGTGACACGTGGAATTACGAGCGGTCACCTTTCTCTGATCGCTCTAGATGTTTGCTGGTAAACTAATTGCGAACCTCCTTCGGAGGCGCTTGGTATGGTATCCGCCTCAACGGTCAACCTGGCACTCTTTTCTTATTATTTATTCTTTTTATTTATTTGTAGGTAATTATAACTCTTATATAAAAATCGAAATTTTGATAAAAAGAAATTATATTATTGACATATAAGCGACGTGGAAAAATTACCATATTTTTATAATCAATATTTTTTTTCATTTAAATTATTTTTTAAAAATTAAATTATTAAATATTTTTATTATTATTTATCTTAAATCATTTTCAATTAAATTCATATAATAAAACTTTAATTTTCATCATTATCATTAATACATAAAATAATTTTACGTCCCTTTTTTTTATATTGTCACTATTACATTAATTTTGAAATATTCCTTAAATTTTCAAAAATGGTTAAAAATTTGTAATTTCCTTAAATTATTCATAATTTAATATATATTAAAATTTTCAAACTTTCTTGGCAAAAAAAAAAAAAAAAAAACCCAAACTTTAAATTTGTGAAACAAATTCTAAATTCTAAATTCTAAATTCTAATTTTAATGAAATAAATAATATTTGATTTATCTACCAATTGAATTTAGATTCAAGCTTGCACCATTTTGGAGCCTTTACTTCAGCCTATATCTTCTAACGTTATCTACCAAATTTAGAGCTTTTTATAGTTTCTTTTTATGCTTTTCGTTTTTGTAGAAAACATTTTGACTAATAAAGCATATTAGCATTGAATTAAGCAGCCACCCACGTTTACTTTGTTTATCGTTTCTTTATATGGATAGGGTGTTTTCACTTTCCAAATAGTCAGGTTGTGTCATATAAGGAAATATGAGCTTCACATAATTCACAGAGAATTTTCACCTAACCAGCTAGTTGGGAAACAGAGAAGAGAACGAACAGATCCAAGTGTAGACATTACATTTTGTCCAAAATTTTTTCAAGACAAAGACGGGCTTCGATCGTGAATTGAGCTCAATTGGGAAGCTTAAGGCCCAATAGAAAAAATTTTCATTTTAATTTTAATTTGATTTAGTTTTTGATTTTATTTACTTATCATTATTATTTAAAAAAAATAAAAAAGGTTTAAAATAAAAAGGAAAATGAGGAAAAAAAAGCAAGAAATTGGTGATTCAATCCCAGATCAGTTGGAGCATGATTCTTGGTGATTCAATCTCGGATTTGTTAAAGCATAATTCATGCAGAGGATTAATTCATGGATGAATAAAATCATGATTGCAGATTCTGTGGAAAGGATTTTTTTTCAAATTGGACGAATATGAATCCTTATAAAGGATTCAAGACAACAATCAACAAGGCAGGTCTAATTCTCCCATATGGTAGCGCTTTTTCAACTATAAATTGGAGCCATGCAAATCGAAGAGGAAAATATAGAAGCAATCACACAATAACCGAGGGCCTCAATTAACAAACAAAGCAAGCAAAGAGAAAATCAAGCAAAAAAAAAAATTTGGCAATAAGCACCCAAGTAATTCAGTAGTAGTAACAAAGAAAGGCAACACATGGATTCAACCAGGCAAGGAATCGACCAAAACCAATTCACAAACAATAACTCTTAGCCTCAATCATACCCAGAACCAAGGAGCCTGAAAATCAATTCACACCTGAAAGTCAACACACACAGCCTCATATACAATACCTAGAAACTATACCTAGAATCCCATTAGAAGACAAGCAAAAGGCCAGCCACACAATTTTCAAAAATCAAGTCAATCCAAAGCAAGTCCCAACATAGTCAACTAAAGCATTCAATCAAAAACCCAAAAGCCAAATCAAAACTCCAACAAATAGAAGCAAACACAAGCAACAAAATAGCAATCAGTCAACAACAATCCATACAAAAATCATAAAAAAGCAAGAAGTTGACAATAAAAGGGATTTTTTTTTAGTTTTAATTTGATTTTTTTTTTTAGTTTTTGGGTTTTAAAACAGAGATAGAAAAATGAGAGAGGAAATGCTGCTGGAGGAGTAAATTTTTGGCATAGGCTACGGTAGCGTAAGGTGACAGCAAGCTGCTGAAATTTGGGTTAGACTGTCAGTGCTTTGGTATTTTGAAGAGGCTGCTGATTGCCTTGGTTTTTAGCTAGTTTAAGAGAGAAGAAAGGGATCTGACATCAAAAGATGGGGAAGGAAGAAAATTGAATGAATGAATAGAAAACCAAAACTTACCATTTTGGTGTGGAAGAAGAATGGAAAAAAAAACTGCAAGCACATGTGCCTTTATGACCCGATCGTTGACCCGTCTGTGACCTCTTTTCAACTCGACTCTTTTGGTTGTTGACTTTGGTTAACTAGGATGAGCTTTTTGGTTGAAGTTTAAAGTTTTTGTTTGAACTCGGTGACCCACATAAAGATCCGCGCTTCGACTTAATCCAATCGCAGGTGTTCTCTTTTTTCTATTTTAATTTTGTTTTTTGATTTTATTTTTTATTTATTTTTATTTTGATTTTGATTTTATTTTTAGTTTATTTATTTATTTATTTTTATTGAGTAACTTATTATTTGTTAAATATTTTACAAAAATTCAATTTTATTTCTGGAAAACAATAACAAAAAAATAATAAAAAAATTTTTTCAAATAAATTCATAAATCTTACCAAACTATTGGAGAATTTTCATGAACTTAAATTTTATGGAATCCACCAAACTATTAGAAATTTTCATACATCGATTTTCAAAAAAAATTTTTATCCTACCAAACTGTTGGAAGATTGCATTTCAAGTTAAATCTTACCAAATTATTAAAAGATTTAATGAATTTTCTCAAAATAAAATTTTATAAATATTTTTACAATAAAATTTTACCAAACTTTTGAAAGATCTGCATCAAAATAAATCTTAATAAACTATTGGATGACTTTATTAATTTTTTTGAATAAAATATATTAATAAATCAGACAACGGAGCCTCTTCAAAGTGTGATACTAGTCTCTATGAATACTCATCATATTAAAAAATTACCTTAAATTACTACCAAACTATTAGGGTAATTTCAAGACTAATTTTTAATATTAAATATTTTGGTAAATTACAAACATGATCAAGGCTTGGATAATATGAAATCAGACTGGTACCATCTTTTGGATATGTGTTATGAAGATGCTATAATCTTTCTCACATGTAACCATACTTTTGAACCTAAAATCTAGTTTCATGGATCATAATCTACTATTTAAAAATACTCAAGTCAATCTTGGAACTCTTCTTTAAATGGGATAAATTCGATTAGGTGACCAATCACACCTAAACAAAAAAAATTGATGACGATTCCTAAAAATCATGTCTAGTGGTAGGTCTATGGATCTATACATAAAATAGTTTGGTGACTTCATTGGAGATAAATTGAAAGTCAAGCCAATAAATGATTTTTTATTATCCATGCCTTGCTTAATAAATTTAAGATTATTTTTTTATTTTATTTCTTTTCATTGCTTATATTTGCTTAGTTATTCATTTATTATATATATGTCATTCATTTGCATGTGCATAACATAAGCTCTCCACTCGAGTTTTACCCTTAAGAGAAAGTAAAATACTTATGTCCTTGTGAGATTTCATATCTCTATATGAGCCTGCAAAATACTTCAACTCAAATTGAACCCTTTTTGCTGTTAGCCTGTGATGGGTAAAGATTTTGGTGCCTTACTAGTCTATAATGGATAATGATGTAAGAAAAAATTTAGGAACCTTTTAGAAGTAATCCAAACCGCATATAGTTAACTTTAAAAAATTAACCATAGGTAGAGCCATGTTTTTCCACCTTTTATAGTTAACCTAAAATTTATGGTCATGCTGTTAGTTTACTTGTTTTATAGTGTTTATTTTGTTAAAATGACTAACCAATTTTCTTGTTTTGTTTTTTTTTTTTTTTGTGCATATTCATAAACATACATGCATTGCATTACATTCAGTCATGATCATTTATTCATTATGTCAAATCATGTCAAGATCACTTATTCTAGATTATGGTACTAAGGTGTAAGAATAGCTCAACATCCATATAACACTCGAGCTATAGTTAGGAAGATAGAGCAAGATAATGCAAATCGTTTTGAAAGGTTGAAAAAGGCTCATGAGGTAATTGAGGGGAAATGAGCAAGATCTTTGAAGCTCTAGATAAAATAAACAAAGAAAAAATAGTTAAGGAAGATATCTCGCATGAAGTCACTAAATCACTATATTTTTCAAGTTTCGATCCATATCAAACCTAAGCCACTCCAAGCTTTCAGCCACAACAAACCACGTTCCCCACTCATAGCTACCCAGGAATGCCCTATGTACCCAGTCAAGTAAATGTTCAAATTTACACTAATCTTATATTCGTTGAAAAGGCAGTCGAGCCAATCCAAACTTTCAATTTGGATGAGGTAAAAGAAATAGTGAAA